CCACTTTGTTTCGAAATTTTTTTGGTGTTTATTGTTATTTTTACATATTTTCGCTACCTTTTTCGCAGTCGTGGAGCAATTAACTAATAATTACATGCGCCATATCATTACCACAACCACCGTTTTTGTTGTATACGCTGTTAAGGTCGTCGAGTAACAGTGAAATTTTAAATGAGCATGCAAACAAGTCGTCCTAGAACGAAGTATGTGTTCTCTAGTCTACCCTGTGCTGTTCCACCACACCTGAAGTTTTGGAGAGATAACGTTCCGTAACTGATGTTTAGCAACCAATTCGTTAGTAATTACTATCGTAGATATGGGAAAATAATGGAAGAAATTCGTCCTGTTCGAAGCTTCCCCATTGGGAGAAATACAAGAATGCTATTAGAAATTAAGGAGAAAACAACGAAGAAGTGTAGAATGACATCAAATCATCTCGATGAGGTTGCATGACCTGGAAATGTTCCAAATATTCTGCAAATATAATGCCACTTTTTAGTAACTTTTGTTTCTGCAGCCCAGTTTTTACTCATCCCATTAATTGTTTCGCATCATTTATAGGTTTATTTGAAACAAAGAAGATTTCTTGCTTTGTATCAGTTGAAATGAGTTTTTGCTATCATATTGTATTAACTTGTGCATTTTCCGTTTCGTTTTACCGGTTCCCACTTTTTTGTGTGATGTTGGAAGTCGATTGCAAACTAAGTATTCCATTGTTCGTTCTACCGCTCTTTCGTCTATTTACGGATTTGATCATGCTTTTCACCTTACCTTCTTTAATACAGAAAGGCACTTTTACGCCTCCTCCAGTTCAAGGCCGAAATCACACCGAAATTCAGACAGAGCTTTACCTTGAAGAGCTCTCTGGCGTTGTTGAAACAGACACCGTTTTCTGTCAGACTGATGATTTTTTGGATAGGCCTCCGACACCCATTTTTATGCCTGCCAAAACCGGCGTAGATGTCGCCACAGAGATTCTCGCCAACGACGTGAGTAAGACATAAGCTTGTGGGTCGTTTTTTTATTCAACTAACTTATTGTATATTCTTGTGCTGATATTGGTGTTTTATAATTGTTGGTATATCTATATACATCATCAAGCTATTCGACTTTGATCTGGAAGTAAAGCCAATTCTGGAAGTTTTGGTGGGCAAAGTGATGGAACAGGCTCTACTAGAGGTCAGCGAAGAAGAAGAATTGGCAGACATTCGAAAACAGCAACTGGAGTTTGAGGAAATTCGTGATGCTGAACTCATTGAAATGCAGCGCCTGGCTGAGCGGGAAAGGCGATATCGGTAAACACACACGGTGCCTTTATATGAAACTATTTTTTAAAGTCCCGTTCTCCCAGTCTTATCTTGTGGAAATCGTTAACCTTCAATCGATTTCCTTGTGGTGTGGAGATCGTTTTACATGTTGCTTTGACAATGCAAAAATTTGTAACGCCTTGTCATATTTGGTAGAAGTTATTTTTTATTTAAAGACACTGGGTTGTCCCATTTGATTCGCACAGCATTGTGGAAGCGAGCGCTGTGATGGCCTATCGCATTGTTCGATGTCTATTAAACTTCCCAAACGAAGTTCTACTTTTGCAATTGTGAAAAGTAAACTCAGCCCGATTATGGGTCTACTACCGTTCATCATACTGAGTTTTTATGGTACATAAAACGGATCACCAGAAATATTCACAAACTTTCGGCGATGGCAGTAACTGTTAAACCTGCATTGTCGCACGACATACCTCCTATTTTCACAATATGAAACGCTAGAACTATCAAAAGCGTGAAAACGCTCTCTCAAAAATATCATTGCGTTCTAAGCTGAGATCGTCTGAAGCTCACTTTAGACTTGTTGCCTGCCAATATCTTACTTATTTGTGCCTAAATTATGTTTTGAGTAGCAAGGAACTGTGAGCAGTACT